GCGCCCGCCGGTCCCTGCAGAGCCCCGGGGGTGCCGGACCTTCCTCCCCACCCCGCTCAAGGCCAGAGAGGAGCCCGGGAAGCTGGATTATCCGCACACTTTTCCATTTTTTTTTTCTTTTTCCAACAAAGGGACTTGCCAGGGTTTCTGCAAAGATTCCTGCGGCTGGGGACGCACCTGCGAAGCACCCGAAAATGCATGCTCTATACATAATAGGATCGGCGACCTGCTAGCGATAGTTTGTACACTGTACTTAGTAGCAAGCTTCCGGAAGAAGAAGAAGGAAAACAAACAAACAAAAACCCACCAGTTTCTCCATTTTCTTCAAGTAGGAAAACGACGGACAGTCATTAGGATGAAGATGCTGATAGTAGTGCTATGGGATGTGTGGCCTGTCTTAGTGTGTCCCCCTCCCTGTGGCTGGGTTCCTCCCTGAGGCTTGTTCCAGAACACCCGTGGGGGGGCCCTTCCCGGAATGTTCTAGAACCCCGTGGATCCTTCCCGAACGTTCTAGAACGCCGTGGGGTCCTTCCCGAAGGTTCTAGAAGGGCCGGGAATTCCGGAGACACCCCCCCTCCCCCCTCCCCACCCATACTGCAGCTTTATGAAAGTTAGAGAAAACTGTAACATATCTCTTATATATTAAAAAAAAAGAAAAAGAAAAACCAGGAAAAAAAAAAACGTTTAAAAGTTTTAAAAGAGAAATCGCAATTACTACAGATTGAAGTATTTTATTCTTTTTTGACTTGAAGAATTATATTTCATATTGCAAAGATGTTTACAAGTATTTTAATTTAAGTTCAGTGAACTTTTTTGTAGCTGGGTTAAATCTTTTTTATTTTTTAGTACGGCCTCCTGGCGGGAGAGCAAAACACTGTATTCTTTTGATAATCACGGCGTTGCGACGGGGATCACAGACAAACCCGTACACACGTGCAACCTTTCGAACAGTATTCTGTGGGGATGGAGAATTTTTTTAGAGGTTCGGGCGGATCTTCTAGCTCCCCTTCACCCAGCATTTTTCTATTCGGTGACAGAAAACGTATTTTATTCTATATTATTACAAGAAAAAAAAAAAAACCACCCCACAAGCAAAGCAGAAACATAAACACGTCGGAAGGGACTGTCGGAGCTTTCTAACCACGTTTGTAATAAGTAGAATGCAGTGCAACGTTACGGGGAATCTGTTTCGCCACTCTAGTTTTAGTATTTCTATTTTAATACATTTGTTTACCACTCGTTTATGTATATGTAGGTGACGTTACTTGAGCTTCGATGTACTTTACTGAGCAAAGTTTAAAAAAAAAAACAAAGTATATTTTATTTTATGATAAAGGGCCTTTAACCTCATGGTCAAATACTAATATTATATTTGCTGAGACAAGATTTGAAAATTGTATCAAGAGTTTTATTTTTTTGACATTTAAAGTTCTACATAATAAAGGGAAAACGTAAGTCATGGTGCTACTTCATTTTTTAAGTATTTCTATATAAATAAAATATGGAAGAAAATCGAGATGGCGTGGTGACTTTTTTTTTTTTTTTGAGCCTTTTTGAGGGACCTTGTGTCAGGAATCGTTCTTCAGGGGCAGGTGGAAATCTCTAACGTCCAGCCATATGATGTCAGTAGTTTTATCAATAGAATGGGCTTTTTAAGGAAAGGGGGCCAGAGTTGCATGTGGGTTGGATGGATAGGCCGTGGTAACAGTATTTTCTTTGTTGATGTTGTTGGTAATTCTCCCCCAAGGATATTTTCCCATTGGTTCTTAGAGAGAGCGGAAGGGAGAGGGAGAGAGAGAGAAACATCGATGTGAGAGAGACACGTCGATGGGCTGCCTCCTGCACGCGCCCCGACCAGGGTCCAGCTGGGGAGGAGCCTGCCACCGAGGCCCGTGCCCTTGACCGGAGTCGAACCCGGGACCCTTGGGTCTGCAGGCCAACGTTCTATCAACTGAGCCACGCTGTTAGGGTGGCAACAATATTTTTTTTAAGAGGCCCTTATTGATTTTTTACAGAGAGGAAGGGAGAGGGAGAGAGAGAGAAACATCGATGTGAGAGAGACACGTCGATGGGCTGCCTCCTGCACGCCCCCATACTGGGGTTCGAGCCCGCCACCCGGGCCTGTGCCCTGATTGGGAATCAAACCCGGGACCTTTCAGTCCGCAGGCCGGCGCTCTATCCACTGAGCCACACCGGCCAGGGCTAAATTTTAATATTATGGCCCGGCCAGCGTGCAACCTCTGAACCGGGAGGGCAGGGTTCATCCCCCTGGGTTGTGGGCTCCATCCCCAGTCGGGGGCGTGCAGGAGGCAGCCGATCCCTGATCCTCTCATCATGTCTCTCTCCCTCTCCCTTCTTCTCTAAAATCAATAGAAATACGTTTTTAAAAATGATGATGGAGGAAAGGAACCCAGAAAGCAAAACGGCCTGGGCCCCGGAAGGTCAGGGTCCTGCCCAGCCTGCCTGGGCCCCGCAGGGGGAGGGGGCGGCCCTGGGGCTGTGTTGGCTGTGAGTGTCATGAGGGGTCGCTTCCCGGGGGGGAAGGGCGGAGGGGGGGGGCTGAGGGTTCCTGGGGGAGGACTTAGCGGGATTTGAGCGTCTTAAGGGGCTCCCGCTGGCAGCCTTGCTAATCGGTGTTGACAGGGGCTGGTGTGAACTGTTTGTTGCGCTCTATCCACTGATCCAAACCGGTTTTGGCGGCAACAATATTTTTAAAAATGTGCAAGATTCTATTGAATCAGGGCTTACTGCTCCATGGGACAGGGCCTAGGGCCCATGATCCTTATAGGGTCCAAGGAAAATGTTTAATTTTTCTTTTTTAATTCAAAGAAAAAATAATTGCAAAAGGAAATTAAAACATTCGAAGGTTGCAAAGATTCCGTTTCCAGGCCTACACAAACCTATTACATTTTGCCTAAACCATTAAGAAAGTCCCCAAAGCATTTAAAGTTATGTCAAAAGTACATTTTAATATATTTTTTTAAAATTTAATATTGTTTTTTTATTGATGTCAGAGAAGGAGAGAGAGAAACATCCATGATGAGAGAGAACCATGGATCGGCTGCCTCCTGCACGCCCCCATACTGGGGTTCGAGCCCGCCACCCGGGCCTGTGCCCTGATTGGGAATCAAACCCGGGACCTTTCAGTCCGCAGGCCGGCGCTCTATCCACTGAGCCACACCGGCCAGGGCTAAATTTTAATATTAATTACCGTGGACATACAATATGATATTAGTTTCAGGTGATATTAGTTTCACATAGTGATTAAACATTTATATACCCTAGGGAATGCTCAGCTTTTATCTCCCAGCCAGCCTCGGGAAAATGAACAGCTTCCTTGCCATCTTTTGAGAAATGGCCCCAGGAGTAAACAGAGCCCCAGAGCATCCCTGCGGCCTAATGATGGTTTACATCCGAGTCGCTGTGCTCTGCCATAGGGGGTGATCCCGACCTTCCGCGTGAAGTTCCTGCTGCGGCTGCTGCGGGGGCGGCTGGAGGTGGACCTGGACAAGGACAAGCTCCTGTTTAAGCACATGTGCTACGAGATGGAGAGGCTGCACAACGGCGGCGACGTCCTTACCCTGGGGGAGAGTGACCCTTAGGACTGACCAGACCAAGGAATTGCCAGCCAACTGCCCGGCCCAGCGGCCCCTGCACGGCCCTGTCTGCCCAGAATGGGGCCGGCTTTTATTTCTATTTGTTTGATTATTTCGTTAATCCCCACCCGAGGATATTTTTCCATTGATTTTTATTTTATTTATTTTTTTATTGATTTCAGAGAGGAAGAGAGAGGGAGAGAGAGAAACATTCATGATGAGAGAGAATCATTGGCTGTCTCTAGCATACCCCCAACTGGGGATTGAACCCACAATCCAGGCATGTACCCTGAGGGGCAATCAAACCGCGACCTTCTGGTTCATAGTTTGACGCTCAACCACTGAGCCACACTGGCTGGGCCTAAAAGAAATCTTAAAAGTCAAATATTCCCGTGTGAGAAAACTATGACACCAGTGGGTTAAGATAGTGCCCAGGGACATAGAAAGACATATGTGAACAAGAAGGGCTTTAACATATCACACACTGTTAGTTACTTTACCCACATGACATTATTGACTACATGATAATGATCCTTTGAGGTAATTGGATGAATATGATCAGTTTCATACTCAGCA